GTACTTCACAAGAAGGGTAAGTGCATGCCATTGAAACATCGTGGTTTCTTACTTTTCAAATCAATACTATCTTTCTTTTATCCGTACCAGACATATTCGCGCAACACAGAAAAGTGATCCTATCCACGGCTTTTTTTATCTGCTGGGCTTGTCGGCAGCAAAACCCAAGGAACATTCTGCAGTTGCTGGGTAGAAAAGACCTGTTTCGTCTACATTGTACATTTTGTCATCATTAAAAGCATTTAAAAGTTCAAGAAGTCGATCTTTTAGCCAATTTTCGCAGACTGCTCTGTCCGGGGAACCCTGTTCGCAACATGCACGTTTATACACAATTCGAATTCTATTCTTCCATCTTCGTAACCATCCTTCTATAGCAGCACAGGATTTTCGAAGTCCTGCCCTGAATTCTTCCTTTTTCTTCAGAAGCGGGCCTCTAACTGTTTGGTTGTGCTGACGAACCGAGATCATCCAGTCTTTCACTACAATTTCTTCTTCATCCATTCCACATTGCTTCCTTTTCTGAGAGCTTGCAGTGCCATGCGACAAATTCCGCCGGAGTTCCTTTCGTTAGCAAGCAATCCGACTAGAGTACGACGTGAAATGTGTAAATCACGTGACAACTTGGCCTGCAAAATTCCTGGTGGATGCGTTTTAAGTTTCTCCAAAAAGTGCAACTTCTCTTTCAAGGACAAATCTTTTCTGTTATTGGCCATACTTGTGTGCAACCAATACAGTGTTGACAAAATGCAACGGAAAATTTACCTGACTTTGCGCAGTTCTCGAGCTTTGTATACGGACGACGGTTTGCCCACAGCCGTCTGTACATTTAGCTTGCTCGTATATTGAACGAAGTAGGTAAAATTTTTTGAACTCTCAATAACGCCGCCGACATCGTTCTTGTGCTTGACTCGATCTGACTGTCTAACTGTGGAGCAATCTTAATAAAAGAGTCAAAGAGACAGCATAAAATTGACAAAGCGACAAGGATACAGCCCACGCAGCTGGGCAATTAAGTGGTGGGACGACCGTGGTAAACGGTAATTAAAATGGTGCAAATTTGGCCTATTTATGAGAAAAGTATTTGCATTTTGAAAAACTGGGCAATAAAGCGAGGTGAGCTATAAACCGGGTTGGCAATAAAGCGGGTTTGACTGTAGTGTGACCCATTTAACAGCGCTTTTCTTAGAATGCAATCACAATTAGAACGGGGAAGCGTTCTCTCTGAGCGAGGTAATAAATTTATTTTTGGCCATAATTTTTCGAAATGGAAAGAGGTCAAGGTACTGGAGACTGGGTTCCCACGAAATCGGATAAATGCCTTCTTTTGGGGCCGAGTGATGCAACAACAGTGCCGACAGCATCCGTTGTAGAATCGTTGGGTGGGCGGGAAGCGAACCTGAGAACAGCGAGTTCCGGCAAGAAATAATGCAACCTCCGAATGTTATGAAGCAAACAACTAGTTTCCGTACAACATAACCTATTCCAAGCAGTTCAAGGAGAAAACTAGAACTGGCTGAGTGTGGATGAGCGCTGATTAAAAATGTCAATATAAATGTCCGTCTTTGATTTGTGGTCAAAATGTGATCGTTAGACTCCAGGTTTGAACCCATCGCAAGTGTCACTCCGGTCGATCATGACCTATAGTGGGTGCACGTGAACCCGAAAGGCATGCATCGAATTGCAGCTGAACAGAAACAGAACATGTGTTAAAAAACACTGGTGGTGTAATACAGTTATTGTACAACACAGGTTTTGTTATTTGGCCCACGGTTTGGGTGTGAAGTCAGGGAGGCTTGAGGAAGTAAGAAAACTAGGGCTTTTAATTAGAATTGATACGTATCTGTCTCACCAATCACCTCAACGGCTCTCGGATAGTAAAGGTTTCAAGTTTTGTGTTACCGCATCAGTGGCTAATGTTATCCACCACATGTTTTGTTTTACAGTACTTTTATTGGTAGAATAATAAACCTTTTGCCACACCCCGTTAAAAATGTTCGATTTTCCCATGTCTCGTAGGATACAACTACATTTAAAATCTAATTCTGCTGACTGCGGGTCTTTATTCAAAGTCTCCACAACGGTGGGACCAACTGAGTCCATTAATATAGGCACAATTACGACTCGCTTTACAATTAATTAGTATATATATTTTCAAAGACCTAACGTTTGAGCGTACATTTAACTTTCATCCAGCGATATGAACTGCATTACGCACCACACACGGATATTACCAGTACGTTATCTATCCCATTTAAGCGTTTGAAATTCAAGTTTCATTTCCTCGTCAGTTGTCGTGGACCACCACTCGTATTGACAACTCACTGTAGTCGTGTACTTCGACCTCAAATGAGGTTTCCATTGTGTGGATCGATTAGCCCTTTCAGACTCTGATGCTGATATCTTTGCTCAGGTAACATGCCTCCCGTGTGTATTTTGGACAAAGTGAGCACCATTGGAAGCAGTTACCACCTTGCAATATTTCTCATCTGATAAATCAAAATTCCCTCTGTCACCCTTCGCTTCAAAATCACTATTACTGAATACTGAGAATAGAGAGCGAGAAGATAAAAATGTGTGTTGCTCCATCGTAGGTGGATCGGGCACATGCGCGGAATCATGTCGCTGATTCCTGTACCGTGTCAGGATAGTGCAGCTGTACTGCATCTTATCCGGGTGCGATGCGCTCCCTATACCTGTAGTCCGCAATTGAGGAATTGATGAGAAATGTGTTCACCAGATTCAGTGGAGAAGGCAGAGTGGCCAACATGTGATCCAGCTCCCGACTAGGTACGCGGATAATGCTACTCTAAGTGTAAGTTTAAAAACGTGCCGACTGGTACCTGATAGAGTTCGGCCGCATACAACTGATTTCTAATTCGATGTACTCATGAGTAGGGGATTTTGATGTAATTAATTGAGATTCTTCGCTGCCAGTTTCCAAATCAGATAGCCGTTCACATGCCAGGAAAAGCACTAGACTGCAGTTTCAGCCTGTTGGGCATCGTCAGTAGTGTGCACCCATTGAAAACTGGCTGCGAAGAACCTCACTTGATGGGCAATTTTTTACCACCCACAAAGTGCGAAGCTTTCTTTCTGAACTGATAGGGACCACCCTTTTTAAATATCGTTGATTGGTACCAGCTTAAAGCTCTTCAAGGACGCAACTACATTGGAAGTTTGATTATCATCTGTGGATTGAAATCAAAACTTAAGGAGCTTATTGTTTTGATATTGCTTACCGTTGGCGGTGTCACATCCCTCTTGTTCTGAAGGACAGAGTTTACAACGTAGCCATGCGTTCGGCCGCACTGTGGAGCTGCAAATCCTGGTTCACCAAATCGTGGATATAAAGAGGCCAGTTAGGTTTGACAATCCCTATCTTCGTAGTTTCATTCATATATTGTGGAATCACGGCAACAGCAAGGAATGTGTTCATGGTCTCGTATTTGATGCAGGAAGTGTGCGGGAACTGCTCAGCCCCGTTATATCTGGGCGCCGTTTTACGCATGACAGCCTACCGACTCTTGCGACGTGCGTATTTGCACGATCTGCATCAGGATGGAAGAAGAGAGGGCCAAGCAATGCTATGGTCGAGGAATGAAAACACTGGCTTCGAATTTAGTCTCGGTTGGTGCCTACAGACTATTGTAGGGAACATGCGCTCCTGCAGTACTTCAATTCATCAATTTTATTGTTAGTAGAAAGTAGAAGTCACGATTAAACTTTACACACTTCTCTGCCTCGACAGGGAATCGAACCCCCGGTCCCAAGAATTTCCGGTCCATTGCTCTACCACTGAGCTACCGAGGGCTGACGACTAGGTGCGCAATTTAATACATGACTTCTGCTTGACGTGCGACGTATTGCCAATGAGCTCACAGTATCTGTCCTGGTGTTGCAGATTGGCTCACTCCCTCGTCACTTCCCAATGGACCGAAGTATCTGCCCTTCTGATGTCCAAAAGGCGACGGTAGATTATTGTGGATGTTTATGAGTAGTGTAATGTTTGTAGAAAGTAGAAATTCGGGTTGGATTCCCCGTCGAAGCAGATTATTGTGTGAAGTTTAATCGTAGCTTCTACTTTCTACGAACATTACACTACTCACAAACATGCACAAGTACTTTTATGGTTGTTTGTACTTTCCCAATGTTTACTCGTTTAGCTGACGATATAATCACTTTCACTTTCGCTGTGGTGCCTCCCGCGCTAAGTCGTACATCACACTTGCCGACTGGCTTTCCATTCCTCCTAGCCGGTTGAAACCGGCAAGTAAACTTAAGATTCACTAGCCTGCCTTGTAATCCGATGTCGCGGGCTCGAGCATGCGTAGTGACTGGAGGATCCTCACAGTATCCTTAGTCCGTGTGCGACTGGTGATGATTGTGCGGCAGCAAAACTTAGGTACTGCGTACCGGCGTATTGCTGACGCCTTTTTTGTATCCTGTTCAAAATACGCTGGGTCCAGCTAACCTCTGTTTTCTCTACTGTTCCGTATTTGCCATATTTCTTGCGTGTCATCGCTAGCGACTAGTTTCTGAGGCGCCAGCCAACACAACCGGGTTTGGGTCCCAAGGACGATGAACAAATTTGGTTGGAGACAGTTTTTAACACGGCCACTAGCCGACTTCATTTGTTTTTGTGTTGTGAGCTTCCTTGTACTTCCCATTTCCTTTTTGCTTAGCGTTCTGTCAAACCACGGCCAAATTCGAGACACTTAACAACCAACGGCGCATAAAGTTCTCTTCTTTACTTCTGTTATTTTGCTTAGCACTACTTAGCGGAGTTTTATTTTGGTTCAATAGTTTAAGTGTGCACCGTCTCTAGTTAAATGATAGGCCGAACGATGAATCCAGCTCGTGTCTGTGTTTAACTTGATCTATCAATCAATTTAAATCATCGCCGTTGGTCTGCGTTACATAGAATACCGAATTTATAGAGGTGAAGCTGCTTACTTTTCGCGCTCTTCCATCAACTAAGTGAGAAACCTGTTCCCTTACAGAGGCGCATTTGGCCTTGGACAACTTGGCCGAATACCGCAACCGGCTGGACCGGCGAGTGGATGCTCCGCTTATCTCAGCGCTGACCCGATTGATGAATGTGTTTCAAAGTCGTCTGTTCCTAGCGCTTCTCGGTACGTATTGCTCACTTTCTAACCAACATCAGAATATCAACAGAAACAGGGTGTGAGTTGACTCGGTCATTTGATGCAATCCTTTTAATTACATTTGTGCAACCAATAATGTTTCCAAAATGACAAATTCACATGAGAGTGGTTGCTGACTGGTTGCGTCGCTGTGCATTGCAGCGGTTGGTGCAACATCAACGTTGACCGTTTTTCGATTCATTTGGTACACACGTTATGTGAACAGATTTTGTTTCAGTCGCTTGATCAGTATCTGAAAGAGATAAATGCTGATCTTTTCCATCTACAAAAATGAACCTTCGATCAGTTCCGTATCCGCTTACAACCATACGAGGGCGTAGCTAGCAGCACTGCGAAGCGGACAGGAACCTTCGGAACTGCTAGCTGAAGCCTATACTCCTAATACAACAATTTACGGCGGGAAACAATTGGTCATTCATTGTGGATAAGAATCTAAGACACATACACCAGTACGAGTGTGGTGTAGCGTGCAGCAAACACTCAACACGATCACCTGCTTTGTGCGCAGCGCGTCGACTGCCACTGATCAATAATATTGCCTTTTAATTGCCCGCAAGTTGTGACTAGTTGCTATGTATCAGGACTGTGAAGTATGCTCTTGTCTGGACCCTGTTCGAACGATTATTTGTTAAAACTATGGGATTAAGAGAATTGGGAGAAACGACTGTTTAGTTTCACAGCCTGTGTCTCCTACAAATTCATAAGAATAAATGATCTCTTGTGCTTCAGCTCCATCAAACAATTGTTATGCGCCACGCAGTCATGCACATTTCATCGTCAAGACTCTCTCCGGAGCAGTCTTTGCGTACCTATTATTGGTGCGTTGTGGTGCTACAACTGTGTGATCCATCGCTATCTGAAGAACTCAAACAGTGCAACGAGGGGACAAAGCGACAGCAAAACTGTCCACAACTGTGAAGGCGCTTAGTTCCGCTTAAATGCTGCATTCAGGTGTCACTGTCTGAAACGGTGTACTCCATGAGCGTAGTCTAATGTGCGATTTGATTCTCAGGACAAAAGAGGCGAGACCCCTTATTTGGAACATGAAATTTCCTTTAAAATCTCAAATAACGATATCAGAAAACGAATACTATGGAATCACAGTGTCTATTCGTGCATCCTCGTCGACCATGTACATACAAATAACAACGAAACCAAAATAAGAGCACATAAAACCGTTTGCTGATCAACTGTTTTACAGTTGGTGCGTTACGCGGTACCACGGAAGGCTTAGCGTCACAGTCAGCTGTTTTTGAACACAGAGCGGTGGGGGCTGTCGAACGATGATAATAGCCTAAAAATGCTTGAGAAGGTGAAGCCTTTGACTGTACATGGGGATTGTGAATACGTAATCCAGGCTTACCATATGACCGATGTTCATCAAACGCCTCGTGCTTGCTGAAGCAGCCTTGCTTCTCGATTCACCTGGTGAAACCTTCGCATGTTCCATCCGCTTGCAATGCCACTTCGGAAGGTGTTCATTGATTTGGATATTTACATTTCGATCAGTGCGCCCAACCTAGCTGTCTCCACAGTTGCATGTGCATCTGAATAAGCAATGAGATTTGCACTGCTTTGACAGCGGTGTCTCCAATGAACACTTAAACAGGATTCTTGTGGACATAAGCAAGCCAGATGTCAAGCTTCACTCTCAAGGAAAAGATCTATGGACTTCCCATTGGGTTCCTTGCTGATGGACGTATCCATACGCATGGTTTACAAGAAAGTAGGCAACGTCATCAAATCAGCCACGTAATATGAACATTATGTTGACGATAGAATCTTAGCCGTGGATTCAGATGAATACCTTGCATTTGTAACCAGAGCGTTCAATAGTGTACACTAGAATCTTAATATGATATGCGAAGCTGAGCAGAACCATTATATACCATACACATACTGCTCACACGACGATGAGATATGTTAATTCAAAGGTGAATGTACCGGAAAATGATCTGGAGAGGTCAATATTTAAAATGCAAGATATTTTCGACCACACACCACAAGAGCTCCTTATTTCTAGTCTTGTTCCATAACTAAAGTAAGAGTAGCTTCGTAGGCGTAGTCCAAATGCTTCATTCAAGTCTAGTCAATAATACTCTTTATGCACCCGGGAAGATTGAATACTTAGTCACAACGCACACATTAATGACAGACAAAATTAAATAAAAGTATAACAAATGAATATGACGCGCCAGCATTTTGGAAAGGTGTCAGAGGTGACATGATCGATGCAGTTGGACAATAAGTTCTTGTTAGACTACATCTTGCTCCCTCAGAAAATAAATGGGAATAGAGAACAACTGACTTACCGTAAAAATTTTTGCGGGCATAAGTGGCCTTGTACGTTTGTCTGGTCGGAAAAATCAAAGTACATTCCGATAACAAAAGAAGGAGTGGGTGGCCGGCATCAGTGAATATGTTGGACGCCAGTTTCTCACAGGATCGAATGGAATTAAACAGAATGCTGTCAGTATATTCTAACCATGAAATGGCGCTATATCTGTCAAGATGTTTCAGTGATATGTTGATCACTTTATATTGCCAGTGTAAGCAATAGATCCAGCACAGTATTCCGCAAACGGTGATAAACCTTAAAATCAAGTAACGAGGCACGGATGAAGATTTAAGTAGGGGAACATAGCACCTTCTAATGACAATTCAGTAGAGGCACAACTAGTAATAAAAACGCCAACTGCAGGACCCGACTCGGGGACGGTTACAACAGTAGCCATTATATCCAGAGGGACACAGCAGAGCACGAGCAAACACCGGGATCCGGGGCATCTGATACCTGACTATATACCAAATTCATCTCGAGAGTCTGCAACCCATTCAAAAAGTGATTAGTCACCGATCCTGTATTGGTCGGTGTAAACTTACTTGCTTCATCCATCCAATCGAACACACTTTTGATCTCCGAGAAGCTCTCATGAATATACACAAATGCCCGAGATCTACTCAGCAAATTAGTTGAATTAAGACTTCGACACGCGTCAGCAGCTTGGGACCTCATCGCTGCCATCGAAACGTGGTTGCGCTGTGAGATAAGGGATGCTGAAATCGCGCTAACAGGCATGTCCGTCGTGCTGAAGGATCGAGCCAACAAAGATTGTGGGATAACCCTCTACTTTCTTAACAACCTGTATTGCGAACGAATAAACAATCCGGAAACCAACGTACCTAACTCCATTTGGTGTAATTTCCGGCTCAGAGGGAACGATCTTGGCCTATTGGTCGTTGTTTACCGCCCACCATCATCTACTCCTGAGACGGACTGGAATCTGATGGCTGCGTGGAAACCAGTGAATAACTGGAAGTACGGTCCCATTCTAGCCACCGGGGACTTCAACTTACATGCTCTAGGATACCAGGCCACACCAGGAGAGCAATTCAAAGTAGACCTGCAAGACCTTGTTTCAGACTTTCCGCTTCATGGCCACCTCACTAAGCCCACCAGATTCAGGGGAACTAACAGGCCATACATATTGGACCGAATATTCACTAATGAAGAACTGATGATCGAGAGAATGATAACCGATACTCTTTGGGCCGCAGTGATCATACGACACTAGTGTTTCAGTACATGTGCTACGCAAATTATCCTAAAGAGCATGCCGAGGAATATCATGTCGTTACCATCTATGACGACCTGTCCGACCTCATTGGTGCAACAAGCTGGTCGTATTTAGCCGAATTGACCCCAGAGGTGACCTGCGGAGAATTCGTCAACATCGTTAACAAGCTTGTGACAAGCACATCGGAAACCAAACTCTACCGGTCTAAAAGGATGAAGTCTTTCGTAAGGAGCAGGACACGAAAATGCATGGCATTAAGGGACTTGGCATGGCCAACCTACATAGCCTCCCCGAACGTCAATACCTGAAATGTCAATGCAATACAAAGAAACCACTGTGTCAAACTCGTGCGGGAGGCTAAACTGACGAACCAACAAGGTCTAGTGGAAACGTTTTGCTCTAATCCCAAACTGCTATACAGACGGGTAAACAACTTACGCCGTGTTAAGCGCGGTATTCCTGCTCTGCAGACCGCATGCAGTTTAGCCCAAACCGCACAAGATGCGGTCAACGTTCTTGGACAACAATTTGGCCGTACCTACCAAAGCGTGCAATCATCATACATCCTGCCTAAGCAGATAACGTCGCCATCAGGGCTTAATGACATATCGTTTACCTCCGCACCTCTACTGAAGAGGCTGATATCTCTGTGTGAGTTTAGCTCCCCGGGTGCGGATGGCCATCACCCGAAGGTGTTGAAAGCTGCTGCCATGAGTTTGGCGACGTCACTAGTAATTTGCTTCCAACGATGTCTGAACGAGATGCACGTCCCCACGATGTGGAAGCACGGAATCATCCCGCTAACCCACAAGAGTGGCAGTCGTGCTGAACCAGCAAATTATTGCCAGGTAACACTACTTCCTGTGATCTCCAAGGTTATGGAGTCCAGTGCAGCTGAAGCTTTGATGGGGTACCTGGAGAACAACAAAATTCTCGTTCCGGAGCAGTACGGATTTCGCCAAAACCGCCCCTGTACCACTAATCTGTTGATTGCTTGTGCAAGCTGGACGGAATATATGGACGCTGGTGCAGGAGTCGACGCGGCCTACTTGGATTTCTCAAATGCATTCGTCCGTCTAGACCATCGCATTCTACTCCACAAACGCCAGAGATATGGAATCGAAGACCCTGTTCCGGGCTAGATAGGAGACTTTCTCGTGCAACGTCACCTGAATGTGAGGGTTAGAAGCAACCTGTCGGAATCCATTGAAGTTCAGTGCGGCGTACCTCAGGGCTCGGTAGTAGGACCCCGCCTGTTCCTGGTTTTTTATAAATGAGCTCGCGAGCGTGCTATCCTCCAACTGTTTGCTATTTGCTGATGATCTAAAGGCATGGCGTACTATAGCTGCAGTGGAGGACCACACAGTGTTACAGGAGGACCTGGACAAAGCGTGCGCATGGTCTATCGAGAAAATACTGCATTTCAAAGTCACCAAGTGCAAAGTTCTCAGCATACGGCACAAGAGTATGCACAAGTACCGCCTAGGACCACAAATTCTACAGCGCGCTTCTCACGAGTGAGATCTCGGCGTGTTAGTTCAAGATGACCTCGGTTGTTTGAGGCAGATTGAAAAAGCGTCTAAGAAAGCAAACCGGTACCTCGGCCTTCTTCGCAGAGCTTTCGTGAACTTTGACCCTTCAGTCTTTCCAAAAATGCTTAATGCGTACGTGAGGCCGCACGCGGAATACGCTATTCAAGTGTAGCAACCCTGGTTCAAGCACCACCTCCCCTAGCTCGATACTGCACAACGTAGGGCAGCGAAAAACGTCAGTGTTTTGACCAGCCTCCCCTACCAACTCAGGCTGAAGGCTCTCGAAATATACAGTGGACGTTTTCGTCGTCTAAGGAGCGATCTCCTAATGGTGTACCAGATCCTGAGAAACTCCAACCACCCATGCCATCCCCTTCTGATACTCAGTCAAAACATCCAGATAAGAGGTCATCAGTTTAAGCTGGTCACGCAGTACAGCTGCCTGGAATGTCGTCGAAACATTTTCTCCCTTCGAGTGCTACAGCCTTGGAACGCCCTCCCGGAACATGTAATCAATGCTCCCACCCTATTCCTTTTCAAAAAATGCCTTGCCGAAACTCTGTCACATTTAAACTACGTGCTATAACCCATGATCACCAGATGCTGGCACTAATGCACAACAGACAGTGAATAGTGCCATAACCCTACTGGAGAATGAGTCACTCCAAACTCCTTGCACGCAATTTGATAAGCCTAACTACTGCAAGACCTGGATTTCTGTATCCTGTCCAGCCGAGATAGTTGCACACGAGTAAGCGTCGTCCTTTCTATTGTTTATTCCCTTTTTCTCGCTTATTACATGATCAATAACCATTCTCCTTATGGCTTTGTCTAAGCACATTCTAATTTCAAACCCTTTACATGGCAGTGCAGTTTAATTTGTAATAGCCTGAACTGACGATTCCATTATCCCTTGATCTATCTTTTCGCACTTTAATTACTTCACGTGACATGTCAAACACCTGCTTTTTTACCAGTTATAAATCGTTGTTCATTGTTCAGTGTACAAAGCTAGTCTGTTTACCTTAGTGAATGTTTTGTTTGCGTAATGGGATCATGTGTAACTCCTAGATATTTCACTAATGTACATCAGTTCAGACTGACAATATCAGTACTAGGATGCGAGGTGTGCATGAGACCTTGCTGATAGCAATTTTCGTGGACAGCGAGAAAAGCGCATCTTAATGCCTTGTCGCGTTGTGTGGATCAGGCTATAAGGTTGTCCAAGGATCATTGTAATTTAGCCAATGAATATGAGTGTGATTGTGTACACCAAGTATTAGGTCATAAGCATACTTCAGCAGAATGGCTTCCTTTGGAGCGTGAATTGAGCTAATGTAGGTGGGAAATGGAAATGGGGAGAAAATAGCTCCCTGAAGAACACCTACATTTATGGTGAGTGAGGAAGAGCTTTTCCCCCAAGCTTGGTCTTAGGTGGAGAACTGGCCATATATTTTTAATGACAATCATTTGTTGCCTGTATTCATTTCGTTACTGGTTGCTTCTTGACATTTGTTGGCCCGATTGGTACACACACATCATTGTTAATGGACGCTCATCTCCGTGTCATCTTCAGCACTGCCATTTTGCAAGAACATATTCTATTAGTTTTTTCTCCTCATCATTGTTCTACTTCGCTGTGTTAAAGGAATATATAGTTGTTACACAATTGGTTTACTAGATTTCAATTTTTGGGTCTGCACTTCTTATTCTTGTTTGTTTCGTGACATTTGTTGAAACACTACATTTGGTTATGCTGATTGGCCAGTGCTTGTCGCTGTAAATGGATGTTGGCTTTATGCTTGGGGTCCCATGATGCTATTTTTAAGGACAAATGTGATTCACTCCTGATTACACGGTTGCTTATTTGTCCGTTGCATTTGACGTTTTCCTTCTGTTGGTTGACTCAAGTGCAGTTTAGTAGCTTCCCTTCATTTTGCCTTCAAAACTATCTAAGCAGATGTGATTTCATATATTCATGTCTCTTTCCGGCTAGTCTTCGGATTTCTTCTTGCGGTCGTGTTGTGAAGGTGTCACTGGCGATACAACACTTGGTAAAGTGTGTACAATTGGCAAACTAGCCTGTAAGAAAAAGTACTAATGAAGGTTTAATTCCGGAAACTAGCAGATCGTGTAACACCAGCTCGCTGTTTTCACAACTGAAGTTATTGCTGCAAACCAGTAAGCGGATCCGCGTAGGTTTGCATTTACTATCGATTGATGAAAGCCCGGAGTGCACATGACATCCAAAGTGGACCTTGAACTGCGATAGCTGAACTGAAAAGAATCATTTGAGTGGGTTTGGACGAGCGTTCTTTCGAGTATAATTCAGTCACATATCTCCAAAACTACACCGGTACTTACAGGTTCCTTTTCTTGATGCAGGTGTGATGCTGGCTCTTCGTTAGCAATCGTCTATCTTGCGTTGGTAAAGACACATGTTGTATAGTCCATAAAAAGACTGTGTTATGACAATAACACTTTCCTTGAGGACAGTCAGAGATAGTACGTCCGGACCAGGCGCTTTACACCTCTGGATCCGTCTTAATTCCTTGTGAAATGTTGCGTAATCTGTGGGAGCTGGATGTTACGAGGATAGTCGTAACGGTATAGCTGGTAGGTGTAATGCCGGGTCATTTATCTGACCACAAGACTTGCGGTTTAATTTCTCCACGTTGAGGGCAGTGTGTGTGACGCTGCGGACGACTCCACTCAAGTTCTTTCTCATGTTCCATATTTCTTGGCAGCCGGGATCCAAACGGTTCCAATATTCTCGACTCCGGCGAGGCAGTTATGTGTGTCAGCGATGAGACAGACAACAGCAGACATCACATCGACGGTGAAGTGTATAGTAATGATTCATTAAGGTCAGCTAACCTCATTGTTTGCGGATAAACAAATGTCAATGTACAAGTAGTAGGGGGATTTATTAGGCTTTGTGCAGATTCGTCGCAGTCAGACAAAGGCAGACAGCCACCACACATCCAGAAAAGCGCTAGACGGCCATTTCATCCTACTGGGACTCGTCAGTAGCGCGCAGCCGCCGAATCCTTCCGGATTCAAACCCACGACCTTACTCTTGCGAGTCGGCGACTTATGTCACTGAGCCATGGGGGACGGCAGCAGACCGCCATGACTGACATCTAAGTACGATATAGCGCGGCTCATCCTCCACTGTCTTGCATGTTATGCATGTGCAGACGGCAGGGCTGGGCCCCCAGAGCAACGACATCCATTGCAAGCCGCCACCAATCGAGGTGGCATATAAGCTGCTAAGGCAACTACTGCTTATTTGTAAGTAGTAGGGGGTGGTTGTGCAAAAAGGGACAATTGAAGGCGAAATTAGGAAATATCCATGGACTAACGAGTGTGAAAGAGAGGATGAAATTTTGCCAATTTACGAATTAGGAGTTTGTGATTCACATAGCAGCCAGCATTGTCCATTTCTCGTGATATTTTAATGTAACCTAAAAGAATTTACTGGATTATCGAAATAACTTCGTTCGCCTCATGGTGTCATTTACGTTCTGAAGCTGAACGATTTAGAAATCATAAGTTCGTGCTTGGACACTAGCTGCTGAATTCAATACCAAACTTGCCTATCGCTGCGACTGCTGGCGACAACATGATATCTGCTAGTACACGACAGCCATGTGTTCCGCTCTACAAAATTCACATGATTTTATTTGGTAGAAATTTGAAAGTGCTATAGATACTATAGACTGAGCAGACAGCAGAATTTTATATAAGGAAGGTAGTAATATATAGTGATATTCATTTCCTGTTTGGCCTTCTGTCAGTATCTGTTATCAAACCGCCACCCCTCTAGCATTGATGATACCACCACCACTGGGGATGTAACGTCTCCAACCGAATTGTACAATTTAGCGAGAAACTCCACTATTAGGTACCGACATCCACGACAGTGATTCCTGGACAATGTAACGTTACCAACAAATCAGACTAGCAACGCACACAGAATTGTGTGCCATTTCGGAGGGCAAAACCACAAAGACCACTTGCTTTTACGACCTGCCTACACTCGAATTACAACATAGTGCAACTCGAGCGCTTCGCAACAAAGGTTTTACACTGAATATACCGAAGGCCAAAACGAACATTCGCTCGTTTTTCATCCTAGTCAGATATAGCTATCTGTGGACTAAACTACTACTAACACTCAGGTCATGTGACAATGTAGCAACATTTAACAGCAGACACTTCAGTTGCCTTGATGTAAATACAGTAATCTCTAAAATCACACGGGAAAAATCCAAGAGGGGCCCAAATACATCTAAAAGCCAATGTAGTCAAAACTAAGTTTTGGCGTCAAACGTCCGCCAGAACGTTAATACATGAAACGCATACCCGGTATTTGTCTTATGCATCTCACGTATGCAGGAGCAGGAATACTTCTGTACAAAGTGATATGTGCCGTCACAGACACCGTTTCTCGCACCAGAAGAAATGTACGTATTATTATATCTGTATACATATTTGTATGTTATGTATTTTGAAATTTGGCCCACCTCATTCCAAACCAACGTATTCACCTGTTTACTGTCTAGGCGGCTGCTGACCCTGCCTAGTCCATTCATAGCAATTTAGGGTGGTTTTCTTTGGTCTGAAAACATGCTTCCTTGCTAATACGTAACTGACCAGTATTGTTGTGTTGTCTAGCAGAAACTGAACACGTAGTCGGTTTCAAAGCGATACTTTTCAAAGGCATTTGCTCTGTTGTCTCATTGATGAAAAGGAAACATGACTTTTTGTCGCAGATATCCAGGAGTTCTACGAATCTACTTTGTTAGACCCAGAGAAAAACAGCGACGAGAAGACTGCTGCCGCGCTTGATGTTGCATTGCGTTGGGAAAACATATCCAGTCCTTCATTGGTTACTTCGGCGATCGATCTGAGGAGAGTCAACTCCAGCAGCGAGCTCAATTCCATGGATCGAGCGGTGAGTTGACGCAGTTGAGTAAATGCTTTCGTATTTCATGATACTTTCGCCTGTTCCCAGTTTAAGTAATTATGCAGGCAGATAGTTAACTATAACCCAAACGTGCCCTAGCATTCTGATGAATAATCCGTCAACTCATATGGATTGTTCGATAGACAGACAGGTGCGAAGTCAGACAGATGGACGGAGAGTCTACCAGAGAGACAGAAAGATAAAGGATTTGATAGTTGAAAAATAGTTATGTATAGTGACTCGCGATAACACCAAACCACCTCCATTTCGGATACGATCCCTGTGAGCGGAATGATGACGTCTACTTCAACATGAACCAGTCACAATAGAGATTCTATGTCGCAATCCAACTACACGGCTGGTGTTCCAAATCCAACGTAGGAGGTCGTACTTCATACTAAAAGACACGCTGAGATACGGTATCACTTGAATGATGATTGGATTCATCGGGCACATGCATGCTCGTGCGTCCATTCCCTTTGCGGTTGATTCCCAAGACTGCTTTGGAGCCGAATTGATTTTTACATGAAGCCTCTGCATACAGATGCGGAAACCGAACTTGGGAATGGGATGAGTAAGGACAGAGGCAGTGTACAATTTGACATTTAGCGGATATCTGAGATGGTTAATTAAACACCAGCTACGGATGGCATTAAATCATCTTCATGAGGTAGGAAACATTGGATTGGGATGATTAAAATCCCTATGAAGGGGACTTCTGTAGCGATCAGTCGAGTATTCATCAAGGAGACGATTAGAGTGGTTTTTCAAAGATGCTTAACACTCAACTCTACAATATTGTGTTTTAAGTGTTCATTTCCGAAGGTAGAAAAGTAACTGCGTCTAAAACATTAGCTACGAAGAAAGTGTACACGTGCGCAGCGGAACATAACAGGAGCATTTCACGTCCGTTTAGAGACGAGTAAGCATATAGGGTATGAATAAGAGATTCGGCGGTAGTGATGCGTGCGTCAGACACGACGCAATCAACAGACGGGAACAATGTGCACATAATGATAAGAAGTGGATTAAGAGCGACAGGGTTAGGCGGTGGAAATCGCCAGGGTGAATAACTGCGTGAACAGCATTCACGGGATACAGTTATCATATGTATGGCGGGCTGCAGTAACTTAATCAGTATGAATAAATTCAAAGGACAGACCCAAGCTGGAACGCAGACGTCGAAATATCGACAACGGCACCAGCACCAGAAATAACAAGAATGCTGCACATGTGAGTATTCGGTAATGCGGATCAACCAGGAAATGTCCATGCTTGCTTACCATTCGAATGATCACTTTACCCTATGAAATATAATAACAATTACCAACCTACTTGCCGTGGAAGCTAAACGAATTGTGCGCACGTTCAATCGGATAAAGAAGCGCTTGCGTCAAGAGCGAAGCGTATTCACAACCTAAGTCTACAGAGACTGTTTTGTGTTCGGAGCCTTTTGAACGTTTAGGTTTCATCATCATTACAACTAATTAAGGGTGAAAAACACCTCAGCTATTGTGTCGCAACACAAAATGATAACATGCGCAAGGAAAAGTGAGATACTACACAAAACAGAACAAGTAGCATGCTGTTTGGTATCACATTATGCAACGAATATGAGATCGTGTTTGTAGGAGAAGCTAACCGGGTGGCGAGGGATAACACAACTGGCAACACAAATGTCATTGACATTCACTCGTGACCATGTCAGGAAGTGTATCCAGCCAAAGCGGTCCACAGTCCTCCGGACCCCAGCCCGGCAGTCGGGAGACACACCAACCGACGCCAAGTTCGAAGTGACGGACTTCATTCCTCTTAAGCAAGTCTTCGCTTGACCTACCCTCGGGCGCACAAACAAAGCATGTTCCGGGACTAGGTGTGCTGGAGTGCGCGATACTTGGCCAAGCCATCGGAGACTCATGCGTGATATAACGGTGCTGAGTGGTTCACTTTCTCTTCTTGTGCCATAGACAAGGCGCCGAACACGCTCATTGCTCAAACAGTACTGCCTTCAGATATGAGCTAAACTGTGAATGCAGTGATTGTCGAGCCTAACTATCTTATTTATGTCTGTCCATCAGTTAGTCCAGGTTTGGTGGACATACAGAAGCGTTGAACGCACAGTTACATTGTAAACTCTACAGTTAAGGGCAAGAGTGATATCACGCCGGTGCCACAAGTGGTGGCGATTGACAAAAGCGCGTCGACTTATGCCACTGAGTCAGGGATGGAGGCGACGAACCACTATGCCCGATTTCCAACTGCGATCTAGCGGCACTAATCCTCTACAGTCAAGCAAGTTATTAACTTGCGAGGTGTCAAAGTTGGTCCCCAGTAGTTAGCTTAGCAGCCTAGACACTATCCTGTTTGCCAGCGGTTCGCAAAGTTGGTCGCAACTTCGGTGGCCAGCCTTGTTCTCTGTATGTTTATAACATGCATGACAGTAGAGAATAAGCCGCACTATATCTCAGTTAGAAATCAGGCCAGGCTGTCCGCAGACGTCTCCCATCATATACAGTGGCTTATGTCGCTGACTCGTAAGAGTAACGTCATGACTTCGGATCCGGTAGAATCCGACGGGTGTGCGCTACTAACGAGTCCCAAAAACGACGAACCGGCCATCGAACACATTTTTGAATGTGTGGTGGCTGTCTCGCTGATTTTATCTGTGACAAAGTTTCCCAAAAACACCATTAATCACCTTACTATTTTCTCGATCTTAAAGCTTTCCGTTGGTTATTAATTTACAATAACCATGGCGCTGTAGGACTGAGCATAGCAGCAAGCTTTCCTAGGACCCCATTCTTTGGTAAACAATGTCATAGAGTAAGTCGTTCAGTCAAATCCAGGATATGCTGTACTTCTAGGAAGACGACAACGGCAAGCTCTTGGTAGAGTTGGCGACGCCCAAGAATTTGGTGAAGCTCGGAAATTTGTGTCAAAGGCTTGCGTGTCGATGTCACATTATCTCCACAAATTATTCCACCATCATACCAGCTGAGCAGTATTCCCAACGCGTCAAGTGAGTTAGAAGAGCAAGTTGTTCTCTTAACTGGGTGATTTTGTTGCACTTGTGTTACCATGAAGTCACTACGGTGTTGGCTAGTTTGGTTACGAAAGGTATGCAACCAAAACGCATAGCTCTGGGGACTACTCACCATGCTCAACACTACCAGGTATATTATTCTCATTTCATGAACAATGATTCGACGGAAAATATGGGGAGAGGGAAAGTTGGTTGGATGCGGGTTCTTAGTAAACCAATTTGGCTCTTCCACAGCTCGGGTGGAGGGGATCTCAGCGCCCACCCCTCCCCATCAAATAATGCCGCGTTATCACGCAAGCTAAACAAATATGTGTTCTCTGTCTCTATAACACCGTATCACGCATTTCCGTAAAATAATTTGCAACATTTCCCTAGTGGCGATTGTTTTCAGACGAGATAGGGCAAATCTTTCGCAGATGCACGTGGGTGGATGAGGGCCAATTGCGTTATCACGTGCGTACGTGCGTGCGTGCGTGCGTGCGTGCTTTGTTTGAGGAAAAGTGATCCGCTTAAAGCAATCCCACGTGGTGCTTGTTAGCCTCGTGATACGATGAAAAAACCTGCGACAGAAATCCCACCACACAGTTCAGGCAGCCACATCGTTTTATGTACGTTCCAAATTTGAGCTTGTCCTAGTATTGACATCCAAATTTGCGTAAAGAAACTTGAGAAAATCGCGGACAGCTTCACAAGAGATAGCTTAATAATCTAAGCTGTGTATGCGTTCCAAAACCGAAATCGTCTAGACAAAGCGTAGAACAAGTGGGCATTTGCACTGAATGAGTATCCTGATGGCAAGTGCTAAGAATACATTGACAAGAATTTATTTGATATGAGCGGATACCTACTTTCCACATATCAATTGCCTCGGGACACAATATTCAAGCCCATGAAACACTCCGTACGATGTGGTCCTGCACCGTATCTTCAACGATTTACAGAGAGATAATCGCTGGAGGTGCATGTGTTACACCATGACCTCAATAAAAAATTATTCTTCTAAAAAGTTGCAAGCAATAGAGTTGCAGTTGGATGGTCTCCGTAGATAGTCCGGAGAATCCTCTAGCCGGAGGCAGCTACGCACTCGCTTTTCAAAGCTTGAAATCCGCGCATCCTATTAATGATAAGTGTTTCCAAAGTTACTGACTGATTGGGCCCCGTTAGTTCGTCTCTCCTTCCAGCCTGGAGACCACGTGATCCGTCTTGTGCATGACCCGAGATTTTACAGGACATGAATCGCTGTCGGCAGCAGTGGCATGTCTGCTGTCCTCTCCTGTTTAAAATCTCTTTGATACTGAGTTATCTACTGGGTAATGGCTGATCATGACATGGCGCAGTGAAAGCCGCAAGGAAATAGTCTTGTAAATATCGCCTTAGTTTTGCACCCTAGTCACCTGTTTCTGACTTTATGTTGTCCCCATAGTGTAGGCGCTTTGACTCCGAATGTTTGCTTATGGCAATGAGGTTATTATTATTCCTTCGGTAGGTGTTTTTGGTTGAACGGCGGCAGAGCATCAGTTCCAAAGGCTGATGTACTGCTGTTAATGGTGAAATTCGCATGGGTTTCAGGCAAATAACAGATGATAAGAAGTAGCAAGATTCGGAAGGACATGACGAGACTGACCAGAAGGCTAATGTCCAGAAGTACCTGCCTAAAAATAACAACACAAATTTTCTTACTGGAGAAAGACAAAGAGGTTTTTAATATGTGTCGACTCATGTTGTGCGTCAATGCTTCTCACCGAAATGCAGACGTATAGTGACCTAGCTGGCGTGGGGAACTCCGAAATCACATAAAATTTTGAACACAATGAAAGCGCATGGCTATTGTTCTCAAGAAGGGATCCATATCTTAGGTACCATGAAACTACTACCTACCTATGAAGATTGAAGAAATTCAGAACGTAAGGATCAATGGAATAATGCCTTGGTGGTTAAACTGTTTGCTAAGCATGGTACTCTCACCGAAACTTCCATGCACTACGCTAGTGCATATTGGCGGCCCACCGTAGTCGTGTTCCTCGACATCAGAGGTGCCTTCGATCCGGTTGATCAATGTGCTCTTTGGAATTGTCTATCAGGAAAGGTGTGCCCGAGAAATATGTAAATATTATCCGAGCATTATATGCGCGTAGCACGGGCAAAGTGAGGGCTTACGGCAACCTGTCGCCACCCTTCAATATCTCCAGCGTCGTGAGACAAGGATGCCCGCTGTCACCTTTCCTCTTCAACTTCGCTATTGACGAAGCCATGCAGTATGCATTTACAGGACATGACTTGGAAGGTGTGGAGTATGCAGACGGCATTGCTCACATCTGTGACAGCTCCTAGACGTGTCAAGCCGCGCTGGACAGATTAGCACTAGCTGTCAGCCACTTCGGGCTTTGCTTTGCACCATCGAAGTGCAGTGTTCCTCCAAGCTTGGCAGGGATCGCCTCCTCCGCTGACCGTTGGTGGGGATCAGCTAGAAGTCGTTCAGAAATTCAATTACCTGGGAAGTTGTATCAGCGCCCTTGGGGTCGAAGACGAGATCACGAACCGTATAGCGAAAGCTCGAAGTGCTTTTGCTAACCTTCGCCACCTATGGCGGCGGCGCGACATCACTCTCGCCCTGAAGGGTAGATTGTACAATGCAGCGGTACGTTCGACCCTACTATACGGTTGCGAAACCTGGCCCCTAAGGTCGGCGGACATAAAGAGGCTACTTACGTTCGACCATCGGTGCCTTCGCAGTTTGGCTCACATCTGGTGGGAACACCGCGTGAGTAACGAGCGTGTTCGACGCATTGTTTACGACCTGGAAAAGGATCTGAACCGCTCAGCACCGTTACTTCAGGCACCAGGCTCTGATGGCTCGGCCACGTGTTACGCGTGCCAGCCCACCGACTCCCTCGACGTGCGTTGTTTTTCTCACCAGGGATGTAGGTGGAAGAAGAGGAGAGCTGGCCAAGCGATGACTTGGTCCAGCGGAATGAAGTCCCTTACTTCTGAGCTGGCCTCGGTTGGAGCGTCACGGCTCCCTGGTTGGGATCCAAAAGGCGGTGAATACGTTTTGCTGGATACACTTGCTGACATGGCAAGGAGCCGACCTCAGTGGCGTTCCTGCTGTGAGTTTCTTTGTCCCTCCCCATCCCTTTTAGCCTCCCCTCCATCTACGATCTCATTTCGTAGGGTAAAACATAATAAATTTTTTGCTTTTTGCCTAGTAGCTGGCTGGTAGCTTACCGGACCGATGCCTATCCATTGCTGGTAGCTCAGCTGGCATGCAGCTGTTGTATCTATTTTTCCTTTGTGTATTGTGTTATTTATATGTTTTTCCTTCATGTATTGCGACACAATAGCGGAGATGTTTTCCCACCTCTAGCTGACGTGTATGATAATAATAATATACGCTAGTGCATGCTGCGCAACAACGCACTGAGGATGCCATAAGGATTGGTGACGAACCGTCTACAACAACATTGCCAAACTCATCGAACATTTAAGCCACCATCTGAGCAGCCTGAGCTACCCGTCTTCGTTTCTATACCCAAACTGTACTGTCGAAACATTGCATAAAACATCTAAGTGCTAGTCTCCAGTTGTACCACCACCAGGACTTAGCCACATCACGTTTACGACTGCGGATGTTATTAAAAGGCGAAATGTCCTGCGCGGGCATATCTCTCCCGACGTCGATAATATTCGTCCGAAGGCGTTGAAATTTGCCGCAGTAAACCTGGTGGACCCACTCTGCAAGTTCTTCCAACGATGCGTCGATGAGATCTGGGTGCCAACAATGTGGAGGCAGGGCACCGTCACTCCCATCCATAGGGGATGAAGTCGTACAGTTCCGGCCAACTATCGCCTGATAACTACTTCCGGTGCTCTCCAAAATCGTAGAAGCGATTGTTGCCGAGGAGCTCATGAACTACTTGGAAGAGCGCAATATCACAGCACAAGAGAAACATGGATTTCGCAAGAACCGATCTTGCACTTCAAACTTACTACTAGCTAGATCCAGTTGGACTGAGACCGTCGACAGTGGCTTTGGTGTTGATGCAGTATATCTGAAATTCTGAAAGGCCTTTGACCGTCTAAAACCACCGTATCGTCCTTCACAAGCTGCAGTGTTGTGGGATTGGTGACCCAATCCTCGGTTGGATAGGTAACTTCTTGCTTCAACGACATCTGAATGTAAGAGTTCGCGGCGTCATCTCTGACCCAATCGACGTTAAGTGCGGAGTGCCCCAGGGCTCAGTACTTGGTCCGCGAATGTTCCTGATTTACACAAACCATCTCGCGACAGTAATCACCTCCAACTCCTTACTCTTCGCTGACGATCTCAAGAGAAGGCGAGCCATTAGAACAACCAGCGACAATGCAGCACTTCAGGATGATCTTGACAGGGTCTACGAATGGTCGACTCAGATGCTGCTTCAGTTAAGCGCTACAAAGTGCAAGGTGTTAAGCATACGCCATAAAGCCACTTGCGAATACAGACTGGGGGGGTCAAATATTGCAGCGCAGTTCAACGGTATGCGACCTAGGAGTGATAGTTCAGGAAGCTCTATGCTGTTCCCGTCAGGCCGAGAAAGCCTCCAAAAACGCTAACCAAAACCTTGGCCTTTTGCGGAGGACATTCGGGCGCTTTGATCCTTTCATCTTTTCGCAGATGCTCAACACCTACATTCGGCCTCATTCTGAGTACGCCATCCAAGCCTAGCAGCCATGGCAAAAGCAAGACCTTACCACTCTTGAACTGCCACAACGAAGGGCGACCAAGGACGTAAAAGACCCGTTTCATCTCTCTTAACGATTGAGGCTGAAAAACCTCGAGGTCTGCAGTGGATACTATCGACGCCTGGCTGGCGACTTGATAATGACTTATATGATTCTGTGGAATCCAAACCATTCTTGGCATCACCTACTAAAGCTGAATAGCAATACAACACTCAGAGGACACCATCTAAAGCTGGCCACACAATACAGCCGGT